AAAGGGTTAGAGCGTTTGAGTCTGAAATGATGTGCTGGTCCTGGGGCAATGTTTGTCTCCACGTGCTTCAACGGCCCTTCCTTCTGCAGGCCGCCTCCTGGTATTGGATAAAAAGGCCAACGGGAACATCTCAGACCTGCTTTTGGGCTGCTCACTGAGCTCCACTGAGAGACTAGACTGGGTACAATAGTGTTTTAGTGAATAGCAAACCAGCTCTCCTCCAACCAACCTTTTCCTGAGAGCTTAGACAGTTTTGCGGCCTGATTTGCTTAAAGTATGAACTTGGCCAAGTCAATGAGAATCTGTCCGGGATGGCATGTGAGACTGGAAATCCAGAAACAACATTTCAAAAAAGTCTTGGAAGTTGCTTGGTGAAAGGAGCTGCTTTTTGAGATAATGGAGCCCCTGAATTTGCACTGCACACTTATTCATTTGATGAAACATGTTTTCCAACACATTGCAAAACAGGTACTTGATGTGGAAAACAACTGAACTGTGTGTTCCTGGAGTCTGCTAAATGTGAGATTTCTGTAGTGCTCTAAACCGTAAGTTTGCAAGGTTACTTTTCCGAGTACACTTCATTAAATGTGCAAATGGTAACATCATGTCCTGTTGCATTTCCATATTTGAATCCCCACCTCTGTTTCAAAGAAGCATACTGTTAACCAGCCAAGGAGCAAGCTTCCTTTCTAACTTTGTTCTGACATTTCTTTCTATGTATTTAAAGGTAGTATAAAATAGAAAGTCTTGCTGTGACAGCACATGGGAATGATCTGCTGCGAGTCCATGTGGAGTTGCAGCTATGGTGTGCATATGCAGTAGATACTTCAAGTAGTTCTCTCTTACTTTAAGCTCTTTTTGCCATGCAATTCCTGAAGTGATGATTGCAAACCCTGCCAAACCATTCAATAGAAAAGTATGACTTGAAAGGAAGCTGTGGCAGAGTTATATTTTGCTGTGCTCACATGGTGATAAATTATGAAAGCTGCAGAGTCTTTAACACTCAGCAGTAGATGAAAAGTTGCCTTTGTATGGGCAGTGTTTGATGAGTTTGAACTCAGGGAAATAATTATTGCCGAATGTGTCCTTGACAGTGAGCACGCACCCCGCGTGTTCTTTATATAATATGCTTATACATTAGATATCTGATTAAGTGGACCTAAATACTGGCGTTACTAACTCCTTTTCCTTGCAAGAATTCACAGCCAGTAGGGAAAAACCTAGGCCTACCATCTCTGGTCTTATCTCTAGCTTAGGTTTTCTTTTTTTTTGTTTCTCTGTGTAAATAACCGGTCTGTGCTTGTGTGGACCACTGGCAGCGGTTGCTTTCCGCATTTCATCCTTTTCAGTACTCTTGTGTGCCACAGTTTTAGCACTGCTTTATTCCCACTATTACAAAATAAGTCTCAATTCTTTAACCCTTCTCTGCTGGTTCTTCCTGAGTGGTGGCAGAAATCAGCACAGATAAACAGCTCAGGATGCTAAAATGTCTCCTCTTCAACTCTGAGTAATATAGTGCATCCTCCCCTGTGCCAGCACTCGATAGCAGGAGCTTGCAGGCTCCAGACAGAGCTAATTCTTGGTCAGAAGCCAAGACCACATAGTGCTGACATGACTGAGAAATCTCTTCCATAATTAGATTGCTTGGTCATTCATTTCTGGATGTCTGAGTTGCATTTTGGAGCTCAATTTCTTAATGGCCAACCAAATAATAAATCAAGCGTGTGCAGATCCTGTCAATAGGGTTTGCCTTGGGTGACTTTGCATGTTTGCCCTGGTGAAGCACCGTGAAAGTTGGAGACTAAAGGGGTCTAAAATGCAGTTTTGCTTTGTAACGTTAGGTCCTGACCCAATACCAATATTTCTTTATCAATAAATAAATTGGAGCACTTGCTGGAAGGTGCTACTTGGGGATTGTAAGGTACCTGTGGATTACCTCAGAAGTGTTTACAAAATATGACAAGGAAAAGAAATCTCATTATCAGTAGGTCTGAATTTGCCAAGTAGGGTAGATGTCTACCCTTCCAACACAAAAGAACTAGAGGTGTGTAAATTAAAACCACCAAAGGAAGGAATGTGTGTTGAAAAACGGCTAGCAAAATCACAAAATGCATCTCAAGTAAAACATTTTCAACGTATTCCTCTTCCCCACAAAACAAGCAATTAGAAATAACTATTTCAAGTGTCTTGAAATTAAATGATTTTGACAACTCAAAACTAGCTGTTGCTCTAGCTGTAATTATCACTTTGCTGCTGTTTATTTGCTTTCCATTGTGTCAAAGAGCCTTAGCCCTGTGCCCGCATCAGAGGAAAGAGATTCAAAGTGAAATAAAGCAGCTTCTCCTGGGAACTTTCTTTGTGCTAAGTCCTAGCGTTAGCTGCTCTTTGCTTGCTAGAAAGGAATAGGAATGCTCAGGCTTGCTGTTCCATATCGGATCTCTATTGCTCTGTCATGCTATGGCTGTGTTGGCCTCCTAATTGTTTTCTGTGCAGGTGCTGAAATTATTAGCTGAAGTTGGCCTGAAGTTAACCGAAGTGTGTGTGTGTGTGTGTCTATGTATAGATATATAGATGGATAGATACTTAACCCTACTGTGAAATCGTGACGGGTTGCACAGTGCTTTGGGCAATTACAGAATTAGAATTATAGAATCGTTAAGGTTGGAAGGACCTCTCAGAGATCATCTAGTGAGGTGTTTGCAAGCTGTGCTTGTGTGCACACCATGGATGTGGATTTGGGGAGCAGGATCTGGAACCCTCGTGTGCCTCTTGCCCAGGTTTCATGACCCACCAGACCAAGAGCTGCTGCAGCTGCAGCCCAGGGCTGCTTGGCCACATGCCCCAGCCCTGGCTTAGCTCAGCACTGGGGCTGCTGCTTCCCTTAGGAGAGAAATAACCCAGGAGAAAGTGAGGCTGAAAGCCGTCCTGGAGAAGCGTTGCTTCCTGTAGCAGTGTCTGAGCTTTTCATAACTCAAGAGTGGCAGACGGGGCTTGTGCAATAAATTAGTTGTGGCAGAATTATCTGTTGGTCAAAGTCTCTTTATTATGCCAAGGAAAACAAACAATCCCTGTAGCACAAATGAGAATTGATTTAGGAGAAGGTCCTCAGGAATCCTATATATATTTGTGTGTGTGTGTGTATATATATATATATATTTAAATATATTGTGTATATATATATTTAAAAAATCCTTAAGCATCTGAGAGATACTAACGTGTTTAGGCTAGAAAGTCATGCAAAGTGCTGTGTGGGTTTGATAGCTGGGGCAGGTTATGGTGGAGGAAATGTAGTTGCACAGGGCAGGTGGGGCAGGGAGTTCACGTTCATCGCAGGCGCGTTGGGTTTTGCACGGGCGCAGTTTGCTTCTAAGCACTCGTGATGCTTTAGCAGTGAGGTAGCTCATCAGCACGAGGATGAGTCACAGCCCGAAGAGGTTCAGGCTGGGCTGCTCAGGCCTTTGCAGCTCTCAGTGCGGGTCTTTATGATCCTCTGTGGCATTTGGGGCTTATTGCTGACTTCCAGGGTGTGAGCAGGTAGGAAGGAGCCTTCCCTTCTCCATCTGTTTCCTCCAGATTGGCAATGGGATTTGTGAAATGGGAGGGAACGTAGCAGCTTACATGTAGGCTGTGTCATTTAAAATACCATCTGACATGGAAGTTTGAGTTTCCCATCATAACTGGTTGTTTTGATCGTGTCTTCAGTGTTGACAAAGATTTACACAACTTACCTAAGTTTGGACCGCTTTAGCATCAGCCCATCTGCGTCCCGTGTCGCTGCGTTATGTGGTGTGTTGGCACAACAAGTTGTAGATCACTGTGCCCACCAGCCCCACGAGGAGCATTTCACTGAAGGCACCAAGGGAAGACGACTTCATCCTGTGCAGCAACAGGATGTTTAAAAGCAAATGATATAGGGCCAGATTCTGTGCACAGATTCTCTGGAAATTCTGGAGCAACTTGGAGTGTAATTGAGAGCAGAACTTGGGCAGCAGCTGATGCTCAAAGCACTGAACTCACTGGTCACTTGGGAGAACATCTGGCTGCGTTAGCCCCTGAAGTTCAGCAGAGCTCTCAAACTGCTTCCCTGATAGAAACAATGTTTTAGGTATTAAAAATATTCTGGGCCTGTAATTTTGAAGTGTTGCTGGCTAGTTTTCCTTCCAAAAGCACACGAGCCACGGAAGGGTTGCACCATGCTTTACAAACTGCATTGCCAGGCAGGTTCTGATAGCACTTTATGGCTGAATTGCTTCTCGGCAAACACGAGAACCTCTTAAATTTTAAAATGAAGTTCAGATACACACTGCAGCACTTGGATTCCTCTGACCAAGCAAACTTTAGCCTTGCAGCTTCTGTGAGAGAGTTATCTTTCAGGGTGAAGGGAAAAAATCTGTCTGGATTCTCCAAAGCAAATGCTCAGTTTCACCCAGGATAATGACAGAAACCCCCAGACTAAGGAGCTGGGAAATGTAAAGCCTTCACATGAGCAATTGCATAAAATTTTCATACTGTTGATAACTGTGATTCTGCAAGAAGACTTTTCTGGTGATAATTGGGAGAGCAGGTGAAGAAGGCTTTATCTGTGTAAAAATTTTTGTGGTTGATAGTGTCATGTGTTAACTGAGCAAACTGAAAGCAATTAAAGCACTTACAGAATCTTCTATGAAGTTTTTGGTAATACACAGGTCACTTGCTGGTTCTTCAGATTATGCTGAGCAAGATAAATATCTGCTCACTCAATTTCTTAACTGAGTAAATAGGAGGACACTTTTTAGTGTTCTTGCGGATAGATCAAGTCATGGCACTTTTAGCTGTGCTATAACGATCCTCTGTAGAATTAAGTTTTGATATGCAAGAGGCTAATCCAGTGCCCCTGGGACAAGAAAATCTGGGTCAAGATGCTGCTGCTGGGTCCTTGAGTCCCTGCACCGTGCAGCGTGACCCGTGTGCCGTTGCAGAGAGGAGTCCTTTTAACTTGGGCTGTTTTCTTTCCTTTTCAGGTGACCACTTGAAAGTCTGCTCGCAAGGCTACACATGCTGCTCTCAAGAAATGGAAGAGAAGTACAGTCAGCAGAGCAAACACGACTTCAGAAATGCCGTCGTAGAGCTCAGTAATCACTTACAAACAATGTTTAGTTCCCGATACAAGAAGTTTGATGGTAAGTGCAGAGACATTGAACTTGCTCTCCTGTAGATTGAATGTAAATAACTCCCATGTTGTTGCTTTGTATACAGTTGGTTTTACTCTGCCTGCCCCTTTGCTGGGGAGATTTATGACTCATGGCTTGCAGTGGTAAGGGTAGAAAGCAGCTAGTTTTGCAATCCAGGGTGAGAGAAATATTTGCTGATTATGGCTGTTTGTTTCCCAAAGAGACAGATTTTTCTTTCTGGCTAATCTTTTGAAAATCCATTTTTCTATTAATGTAGATTGCAGTTGGTTTTGTTTGTGGACCCCTGCAGCGCGTGTAATTGTAGCGTGCACATCTTGCAGCCTTGATCCACAAAAATGCTGATCGTTCCTGTGTTGGGAACTAACCGGATTTGTATCCATCTCACTTAGCCTGTGGGTCTGAGTAGAGCAGTAAATAAATACAGAACTCCTGCGTGCAGAGCACTGGGGTTCAAGTGTGGCGCAGGGTCAGAAGCAAAACGGACCAAGTCTCGACTGATTTCCCTTCACTCGAGTGATGCCAATTAGAGACTGATCGGAACCCCCTGAAATCTGCAGTTGTCCCACCAGCTCCATCGGAGCTGCCGGATCAGCTCCGAGTCCAGGCGGCTCCCGCGGATCCTGCAGGCTCCTTGGACGCCCCTGCATGTCACGGTGGCTGCGGGTCGCTCCCTGTCACTGCTGTCCCAGCTCCTGTGCATCCCGCAGTGGCTGCAGGTCTTGATGGCCCTGTTACAGGGTGGGATGAGCAAAGTGTCACCCCCTGGCCTGCCTTGCCCTTGGGTGGCTGGTGAGGTGGCACCCAGCTGCATGATGAAGTACCTGATGAGATAGATGGACCCTCATGGTCAGACTCTTGTTCTGCTCATACATTGTCATCACTGTTTGGGGAGCAGAGGGTCACTTCACAGTTCTCTAGACTTTTTTTTTCTCCCTTGTTTTGTCATTGGTCCAACGTGGTTTACTACTAAAAAACGAAAGTCTGTGCTTTAAATCTCCCACGCAGTTCCTGTATACTGCTGCAACAGGTAGCAGTCCTTTTTCAGAGCGGATCAGCACTTGGGTGAGTGAAAAAGTCCCTAAGTATGAAATTACAGTGAGTCAAAGTGAAATTACCCAATCATCTCGATAGCATCTAAATCTACCAGCTAAATATTTCCTTCTTAACCTCTGTTGTCTCTACCTGCTGGTTCACCAAAGGGGTGATAGAGAGAACCGAAGTGTCTAGACTTGCAAGCTTAATAAATGCCGCGCAAGACACTTAATGAAATCCAGCCTGTAGATAAGGCCTTTCAAAGAGACCAGAGGAACAGCATCTGCTTCACCTTAAATGAACGAGGAGGCTCTCGGAGCTGTTGCAGTGCAAACACGGAGCAGGCGGCGTTCGCTGCTGCCACCCGACGTGGCGCAGACGCAGCGCGAGGTGTGTCTGCTCGCTCCCGCCATGGGAGATGGCTGCAGGGCTGCATGACGCCATGGGGTATTAAGCCAAGTTGGATGCCTCTCAAAGCACAAGGGTTTATCACGGATAACCTTGGATAGGGAGCTGTGTGCCAGCCCTGTCGTTTCCTTCCACCACCCTCCGCATGGGCTCAGCACTTCGGCTCTTCTCATCCTGAATCTGGGAGCCCTTGAGTGAAGGGTAGATCTGGAAAGGGAGGATGTGATCCTGTTCCTGGAAGGTGGATTTGCTGTGCCCAGCCTCTCCCTGGAGGAAGTTTCTCTACCCCTTACGAAGTTAATGACGTAGAATTAGCAGTCTCCTTAGCTCATCCCAGATCCTAATGGCCCCATCTTTGAGCATTTCCTAATATCAGGTCTTCCTTGCTGCAGACAAAGCTGATTTGGGAGTTTTTTTAATCTTGCCTGGAGTGAAAGCAGAGATGAACTGATTACTGTCCTCCATCGCTTACCAAGTGGAAGACTTTTAACCACGACAGCCTCCTTTCCTCTGGTCTAGTCACCCCTAGACTAAAGACACCCAATTTGCTGGGGCAATGAGCACTGCATTTAGTGGCCAAGGAGTGTCTTTGATGGGTCTGTAAGTGCTCTGGTGCTCACTGAAGAGTCAAAGAAGAGCTGTGAGCAATCAGAGGGGACGAGGCTGCGTCCCCAAGTCCCTCCTGTTCCTGCTTGTCACCCTTTTTGCCTTATACTCTGCAACACTTTTGGCAGCCGACTCGGAGTGCTGTGCCCTAGACTACTGGGGAGGTTTTGTTTGTTGCTTGTTTATTTTTTAAAGCCTGCTATCTGCTGATGGCCGGTTCGTGGTGTGTTATTTCTGCCCTGCTATCCTGCTGCTCAGTCATCTGACCGGTTGTGTTCTGGTTTGCCTTGCATGTTTGATCTCTCCTTGTCAAATACAACTCTTACAGCTTGCTATTTATTTATTTATTTTCCTGGCTTTCTGCCCCTCATATGTGCCGGTCTTGCCTGTGCTTTCTGTTCCTTCTATTGTGCATTCTAAGAATGTCCCTTCTATTCCTTCATCCAAGTCTTTAATGCTAACCATGGGTGGAATGGAGTCCTGGCAAGACCAACTAGAGATGCCGCTTTGAGATGTCCTCCCAGTTTGAAACCCTCTGGTGAATGTATTTTGGGTGTAACTGTGCATTTGGTGCACTCAAAACATAATTTCAGCCAAAAGAAGTTAAGTAACTGGAAAAAGAAGGTTGAGTGACTGAAGTTGGTTGAAAAGTGCCTTGGCAGTGGCTTTGGTGTCATTTGCCCAGCCTAGGGAGGGGGATGATCGAGGCCCATGTACTTGTTTAGATGTTCCCTTCCAGAGCTCCAGCTTTTCATGGGCCCTTGCTCCCATTTTACCATTTGGAGACCTTTAGGGCCGCCTCATTACTGCTTTCTAGTGGCAAAGTCCATTCAAATGTAAATAAAGCTGACAGAAAATGACCCATGCATCTTCCTCTCTTTAAAAAGAAATCATTTAGGCTACAAGGGCTGTAGATGGACTGAGTAGGTGAGTAGATGAGTGATGGTAGAGACCTAAATTTGCTTAACTAAACTCGTCTCTCAGCAAGTGGATCAAACGTTCTCCTTGCGAGTAACACGTCTCTGTGCTTTGGGAATGATGCTGTAGAAAGCAGCGCTCACTGCAAGAAGCAAACCGTGTCCTCCAGCCCCTTGGAAATATCTGCTGCTAATCTGTTAGCCTTGACATTCAGGTCCGAGAAGAGAGGCAAACTGAAGCTGGTCTCTGTTATGTGCTTGACCTTTGCAACAGTTGCCACTGCAAAATGACAGTAGAAGTTGCGGCATGTCCTTTGGATGGGGCTATAAAGCCTCGTGTCTGCATCAGCTGTTGCCCGAATGCCGGGTGCTGTCAGAACGATTGCCAGAATCGCTCTGAACTGACACCAAAGCCGCCTGCCTCAGAAATGGATTATCTCCTCTTAATCAGGAGCGCAGAACAAGCTGTTGATTATCCCTCTCCAAATGGATGACCAGAAGGAATTTCAGCTCCCAATACATAATAATTTTGTGATGTTGAGTCTCTTTGCACTTCTGCAGCTTGCAGAAGACACAACCTTTTAGTCTCATCTCCTGTCTAGCTATTTGCTTACGCTACAGCTATAAATGCTCCTTGGGTCTCTTCTGTTGTAACTAAAACCACTTGCCCCATCCCAGTGTAGCAGGAAGGTATGTATTTTCAACAGTAAGGGTAATACTTTTAAATAAAAAAATAACCTTTGTAGCTGGATCTTCCATTGTTCAGCATTTTTAAGGTGAAGGTTTTCTGCTTTTCTGAAATGCAGGGTTTTGGGCTTCAGTGAGAAGTTAGTGGGTGAGATTCTTTGGCTATAGGTGCACCTCCCTACCTAGAGGATTATGACCTCAAAACTACTTTGTCTTGTCTCATTTCTTCCAGTTATTCACCCCCCTTTCCCTCCCTCTCCCAGGGTTAATAACATTAATGGTGACATTACGAGTGCATAAATGTCCAGCCCTAGTTGTAGGCCTGCACTTTCATCTGTCTTCTGCTTTCAGAAGCTTTCCATGCTCTCGTGTGTGCTAGAAAAGAAATAGTTTTGAAAAGAAGACATTAATGCCAGAAGAAGAATTTCTCAGCTCTGTTGAGGAATTGGGATAGAGGCAGGAAACAGTAGAAACTCTTCTCTAGTGCTTCTGCTGTTCTGTTGCTGCTGAGATAAGATGCTGTTTTTACTACAGACGCCTTCCTATTTTCTCGAGAGCTGGAGCTGTTGTGCCAGGCCTGTCCTGGGAAGGCAGGATCCTGTAAGGTTGTTGAACAGCGCGATTCAGAGCGGGCAGTTCCCAAAGCCCCAGGAGTGCAAGAGCTGCTCCATGGTGAGGCATTGCCAAAACCATCAGCGATGACCGCACCAAGGGAGGGCTCCGGGCGACCCCGTGGTGTGGTGGCAACCCGGGGGCTGCTCCCAGCAGCTCCCAAAATCGACCAGGACTGCCCGTGCTCCGGGTGCATTAGACCGCAGGGATCCATAAATGAGACGGTTGTTTCCTTTTGGCTGCATTTAACAAGCACTTTTATTATTGCCTTTAAACCAAGTCCTGTCCCCTTTCCCTGTGCCCCTGGATCTGGGAAGACCTGCAAGCCTCATGCACAAGGGTTTGCACGAGCCCGAGGCAGCATCTGGGAAGCTGCTCAATGTTGTGAGCCTCATTTCTGACCTGCTCTTCCCCGTTCCCCCTGACTTTTCCATTAGCATTTAAGATAAAACAAATATGAAAGTGTAAAATGAAACCCCTCTGGGGCTGCAGAGCGGAAGGAAACCGAATCCAAGCAGGAGGAGGCGGCCGTGGTCACCGAGACGCTGTAGCTGTGGGCCGTGAGTGGAAGGCCTGGGGCTCAACGCAGAGCTGACAGCGCGTCCGCGAGGAGAGGAGCGGACAGGGAGGGCCCAAGCGGGTCTCCTCCAGCCCCGAATGCTCGCCATAGCCCTGGGGTTTAGCATCATAGCCAGGCAGCTGGGGCTTTAATGGGAATTAACTCTT